GGATCCCCGCCTCCGCCGCCGCCGCCGCGGTTCCGAACGGCCGGGCCCGCCCCCGGCGGAAAAGGCCGAGCGTATTCGGGCCGCGCGGGGAAGCGAGGCAGAGGCGGAGCCTGGGGACGCCCGACTGATTCCGGAAAGAGCCGAACGTACTCCCGCGGGACTGGAGGGTAGCGGGTGCCCCGAGATAGCCGATGATTTCCGGAAATAGCCGAGCGCAATCGGGTCAGACGAGCGATCCGAGGCTGGGCTCGGCTGGGCTAGGAGACACCCGAGTGATTTCTGAAATGGCCGAGCGTGCTCCGGCAGGACTGGCAGAACAGAGGCTGAGCCCCGAGACCGCGAAGGGCTTCTGGAAAGAACCGAGTGTGCTCGATCTCAAATGAGGCCCTGGGAATTTAGACCCAGAGGTAACCACCAGCTTCGGGAAATTGCCGAAGCATGGACAGGTCCAGAGGGTGGGTGAGGCGACCCCGAGCTTAGGGAACAGGAGGCGGCGGAGTGGGGAAAGGGCTCGCCACAGAAAGCTGAGCTTTTCAGGGAACAGCCGAATAAGCTGAAGTCCGAGAACGAGCTTGGGGTTGACAGCGTTTCCATGGCAGCCCAGAGCGTCCGGAAACAGCTGAACGAACACGAGAAAACACCCCAAACGGGAGCCCAGATGCAGGCGATTAGTTCCGGAAATAGCCGGAGACACTCGGAAGCCAGGGGGCGTGGCCAAAGCTTTGTGACACTGCCGAGAGCTCCGGACGTTACCGAACGCGCTCGGGCTGGGCTGGGTTCTGGTGGGATCGAGTGGAGGGCGTTTCAGGGCACAGCCCAAGCAAAGACCAGTATAGAAGGGACACAAAGATGGTTTATTTATGTTATTAACACAGCTCAGGGCCCCAGGCGGGTGTCTGGATGAGGCTTTGATGGCAGAGTCCATGACGGGTACTCACAGGGAGAGGGCAGCAGGAAGAATCACGATGGTGAACTCCTATGCAGCCTTCAAAACCCACCTCAAAAGACTTTGAGCCAAGTGTCTGTTTTCACCCTGCCCCCACCACACTCTTCCTTTATCCCTCTCTTAGCCCTTCACAAATCCAGACATGCACCTCCTCTTTGTAAATGTGGGCTTTTATTCACTGTCAGCTCCAGGGTGGAAGGAGGGAGCAAGTCATGCACAGCCTTGGTCTAGCTCCAACACTGGGCAGTGCTGGGCACGGGTCTCCAGGAGGTCTGCAGTGCCTGGAAGGTGCCCTCCCACGTGGGGCACGGCGATCTTGCCAGCCACCTCCAAATGGAGAGGTGGAGGCTCTGAGATGCCCAGTGGCCACCCAGCATCACGGGGAGATAGCTCGGGCTGGAGTCAGCTCCGCCTGACAGCAGACTCTCCATCCCGCTCCCCTGACGACAATGCCCACGACGGGCCTGGCTGCACGACTCTTGCCAGGTGACCGTGGGACATGTCTCTGCCCTTGCCAGGCCTCTGTTGTCTGTCTGTAGGCGGGGATGGGGACAGCTCCTGCTGTCTCCAGGCTGGTGGGGGAGCAGCCGTGAGCAGAAGCGCTTGGCACACAGGAGCTCTTCACAAGCACTCACTGGGATTAGTTCTGGAAACACAAGGAAACTGAGGCACAAAGTGGGGACGCTATTTCCCCAGAGCCACACAGTGAAGCCAGGATTCAAGCTCGGGCCCCCCTGCCCCCAGCTGGGTTTTCTTACTCGAATTTCATCCCGGGGAGGCTCCAAAACGACGGAAACTCCTGGGGGCGTTTCGGACACATCATGGTCAAGGGCTCACCTGGGTGTGCATCGGACACACGAAATCTTGTCCAAGGTGCACCTTCTTCCCCGGCCCTGCTAGTGTCCTTCAAGGCCTGTGCCTCCTGGGGCATCAGTGTTCCCCTGTGGAGTGGGTGACCCCTCTGCCTACATCTGGTGAACTCCTACTCATCCATCAAAGCCCTAGTTCCCACACCGCCTCCTCCAGGCTGAAGCCTGCAGGACTTGAGGCAGACTCTAGCAAGACTGGCCTAGGGATGGAGGCTATGACGGTGGGAAGTAGCCTTCAGAATCCAGCCCGTCATCGGGATTACTGTTTTACGGTGGAGGGGAACTGTTTACAGATGCTCCAAGTCATATCCAAACTGAGCCAGGACAAGTGAGCTGGGCTACATCCACTCAAATCAGTGGGTCTTGGGTCAGGGATGGGATCAAGTAACACAAACTGTAAAAAGTACAGAAAAACCAGAACACACGAATACACATGACTTGTTCAAAGTGCTTCCTTCTCAGCCCAGGGGGCAGGGTCTGCACACGGGGTCCCAGGTGCAAGGGCAGGACCCAGGCGGCCGCCTTCACCCAGCAGCTCTGTCTGGCTCTCGCTTATAAAAAGTAATAAATTAGTCGCAGGGATTTGCTGCTATTTACAAGGACAACCCCGTCCCCCACTCCTTCACCGACCGCCCGGTTGGCACCAGAACAAAGGGAGGCGCTGTCCCCTCCAGTGGGGACAGAGATGGCCTCTCACCGGCCAGGTGTCAGAGGCTGGTGGCTCAACCTGGTGTCACTTTACGGAAAAGACATTGCACAAAAAACGCACGACTGCCAGGCTGGGGGGGGGCCAGGTGGGAGGGCTTAGTCCTCCCCGGTGGGTCCAAGGGCTCCCAGCACGGCCTCGGCGCCCTCTACAGCAATCTGCGGCACCGAGGCGGCTGGCCCAGCGGTCTCCTCTGGTGGCTCGTCGAAGCTCACCTCCTGCACGGCCTCTTGCTTCTTGAAGGAGTCTCGGCGCTCGGACAGGTGCAGCCGCCGCATGACCACCAGCTCCGAGTCCGGCCCGCGGCTGCGGCGCCCTGGCTCCCCTTCCAGCCGCTCGCCCGCACTCAGCTTGTCAGCAGACTGGCCGCGGCGCAACCGTGGAGACCAGGTGGGCGCAGATGGGTGACCCGGCAGTGGCGAGGGTGAGCGGGGCGGGGGCGCGGGTCCAGGTGGGCAGGCCAGCGGGGAGGGTGGGATACTGCTGGTGGACTTGCGGCGGCCAGTCTTGGGGCGGGGTGGCCCGAGCTTGGCGGCCAGGCCATGCAGGGAGCTGGGGCGGGTGTGGCCAGTGGCAGCCGGAGAGGCAGGGCTGCTGGAGCTTGGGGATGCACTGGGTGGGGAGGCGGTGTCTGTGGGTGACAGGTGAGGGTCAGGGCCACTGGCCTCAACACGCCCTGACTAGAGACAGGCGCTGGGACCGAGCCCACCTGCCAAAGCCTGCGTTGTTCCCTGCGGCCACCCACCGTGCCTGGTTCTTCTGCATCCGCTGTTTGCACAGGGTATTGCCTTGGCTTAGATCTGGTGAACTCCTACTCATCCATCAAGGTCCTAGCTTCCATTCACCCACTTCTCACCTGATGACCCACCACTCACTGGGGCAAAGACACCTGTCCACGGTCCGTCCATCCAATGAGCAGTCCACCCACTGGTCCCAGGAGCTGTCCAACAAGGGTCCTGCCTCCTTGCCTGTGCCCACCTCCCCACCCCTAGGCCTCAGCCCCAGAGGATACCTGGTCCGAGGAAGGCAAAGATGGCACAGATACCCCCAGCCCCATGAGGTCAGAGTGGGCCAGAGGGAGCTAGGAGTCCCCAGGGGCAGAGTGGGCTTCCTGGAGGAGTGGCTCTGCGGTCCTTCTCCAGGAGGCCTTCCCGGCCTCCCCTCTGGATTGCCCCAGCCTGTCCCTCCCTCTAGCCTGACGCTAATCCAGTAGGGCTGGGGCTATCTGTCTGGCTGTGTCTCAGACTGGAAGCCCTCGGGGCTGGGCCAAGTCACCATCCTCTCCTGCTCCAGAGAGTCCTTCCTTGCTCTGCTCACATATCCTCCATGGCTCCCCACTGCCCCCAACTTAAGCCCAGCTCTTCAGCCTGACCCATCGCCCAAGGCCCCGGCCCCAGCCCTCCCCGCTGCTTTCACACTCCTCCTGTCTAGACTCCTTAGCTCATGATGTTCCCTCCACCGGGCACACCTTTCCCTACCTCCACACCTGGCACCGCAGGCCACCTCTTAGACTCCAGGTGTCCTATCTCATGTTATTCCATCCTCTACACTCTGCTCGCTGGCTCACAGGACAACCACATCCCCGAGGGCCCTTCCTCCCAGGGTGGCCCCTGGTGCACCCACCTGCCGGGGGCTCGGGAGCTGGGCTGCGGCAGGGCGTGGTCGGGCTGGGGGAGAGGCTGTGGGTGGGCGAGCCCGGGAGGCTCTCGCTGGACGACAGGGAGTGGTGGAGACCGGAGGAGAAGCTGCGGCTGGTGTGCAGCACAGACGACTGTTTTGAGATCTTCTTGAAGAGCGACTTTCGCCTGGCGGCGAGAAACCCGGATGCTTCAGAACCGGCTGCAGTGCCTGGGCACTGGGGTGTGCTGCGGGCCCCCTCAGAGCCCCCGTGCCGCTCGCGGCTCACCGGTCCTGGGTCTCCCGCCGGCGGCTCCGCTTGCTCCTGCGCGCCATGCGGGCCTTGGCCACGTCCTTCCGGGCGGGGCCCACCTGGATGGAGGTGTCCTCCAGGGCCGTGGTGCGGAGGGAGACCTTGTGGCTGCTCTGCAGGAGGGAGGGCGAGGGGCCGCCTGTGGGCCTCCCATCCACTGAGATCCCGCCCACCCGCCCGTCAGCGCCCAGACCCCATCTGCCCACTTGTCCCCTAAGGGTCCGTCACTCATTGGGCCAAAGATACACATCCACCGTCTGTCCGTCCAGCCAGCGAGCCACCCACCCACCCTCCCACCCCCCAGTCCCCGGAGCTGCCCAACCAGGGCCTCCTCCCGGCCTGTGCCCACTGTCCCATCCCCAGGCCTCAGCCCTCAAGCACCCCAGGTCTGAAGGAGGCACAGATGGCTCAGATACCCTGAGCCCACAGGGTCGGGGGCAGGGGGAGGGCAGGAGTGGGGGTCCCCAGTGGGCAGGGAAGGCTTCCTGGAGGAGGGGCTCTGAGAGTGGTGTAGGGGCTGAAGAAGGATGCACGCCCTCCGCAGGAGCCCCGAGGATGGACGGTGGGGGCCACGGGGTCTGACCTTCAGTAGCAGCTCGACAACGTCCATGTGCACCAGCCCCAGGACCGACTCCCCGTTGATGTGGGTGATGAGGTCTCCAGCTCGCAGGCCTGCCTCCTGGGCCGGGCTGCCCTCCTCCACGCTCTGGGGGGGTGGGGGGGGTCAGTGGTGGGCTCCCAGCCAGCTGCTGCCTCCCACGCTGCCTCAGTTTCCCTGACCTTGGGGGCTATTCAGAGAGTGACCAGTGGGGAGGGGACGGTCCCTGGGCAGGGGAGAGGAGGCAACACAGCCACCATGTGCCCACCAGGGTCCCTGTCCCTCTCGCCCCACCCCCTCCTATAACTGACAGGGACGCAAAGACCCAAGGGCACCGGCGCCCCCCGGAACCCAAAGCCTCACGCGTGGGAGCGCGCACTCGCCTCCCAAGACCAGGAAATTCGGCTCCAGAAGAGAAGCAAGCGCCCTGCCAAGGCGGAGCCGGCCTCACACCAGTTTTGGTGGTGCCACCCACCCCGAGGCCACTCACCCAGACGACGTGGTGCACCGTGTAGACGTCGCTGTCGCCCATGTAGACGCGGATGGCCCGCAGGCTGAAGCCGTACTTCTTGCCCGAGCTGTGGATGACGACGGGGGGCCGCAGGCTGCCACACACGGGGGACGGGTCTCGGCTTGGAGAGGAGTCTCGGGACGAGGGGTTCGAGGAGAGCGAGCGTGGGGACAGGGGGCTCCTGAGGGGGCCGCCGCTGCCGTCATCTGCAGGGACGAGGATCGGGGAGCAGTCAGGGCACCTTCCCACCCGCCACACTGATGCTCTGGCCGCTGTGCTCCGATGCCCCAAGCCCGCACCCCCGCCGGCCTTTGCACACACAGTGCCCTCTACCCGGGATGCCAGCCACAGCCCGGCCTGGGTCCAGCTCCTTCCCCTCTCCAGGGCTCAGCCCGACATCGCCCGGAAGGAGCCCCTCCAGCCCCCCGCCCCGGTTAAAGGGACGTGGAAGACCAGCGAAGACCAGGCTGGGCCGGGGCGCTACCTGCCGTGATGATGAGCGACAGGGCAGACACCGAGGCCGACTTGGGCACGCGGCCCCCGCCGGGGGCAGCCCTGCTCTTCTCGGGGGCTGGGTCTCTCAGGCCCCCCAGGCGGCGGCCCCGGGCGGCATCCAGGGCCCGAGGTGTGGAGTGCCGGGCGCCAGTGCTGTTGCTTCGTAGGCGCGCGTGGCTGAGGGCGGCTGTGTCAGCTGGGGGGGGGGTGAGGGACCCCTCACAGGTTAGGGGCCAGCCTGCCCCCCATCGCATCACGGGGCTCCTCTGCCCTCAGGGGGCAAAGCCCCCTCCTCCCTGATCGGCAGGCACACAGTCCAGCCTCCTGGCCATCGCTCAGGCAGTTCCCCCTTCCTGCACACCCTTCCTGACTGCTTGCCCTGGAAAGCTCCACTCTTCAAGGCCCCTCCTCCAGGAAGCCTTCCCCTCACCGTACTCAGACCCCTAGCTCCCTCTCCTGGAGCTCCCCAGCCCATCCCTCGCTCCAGTCCCATCCCAACCCAATGAAGCTGGTGGTATCACCCCTAGACTGACAGCTCCTTGGGGACCAACCTAAGGCCTGAAGCCTCACTGGAGCCCTGGCCTCTCCTATCTTAAAGCCTTTGTTAGACAAGTGAGTGTTCTCTCTGGAGAACTCCTGCTCATCCTTCAAAACCCATCTCAAATAGTCCCTCCCCTAGGAAACTTTCCACAACACTAGCCCTCCCACCCTGGACCCCACCTACCAGAAAGGCTTGAGGGCTTGGGTGTCACCGGGGTGGCTGCCGGGGGCGGGTCAGGCTCCCCCAGAACGAAGATGGGCTTCTTGGGGCCCACAGAGGCTGGGCCGGCCCCCTCATCCTCTGACGAGAAGGCAAACTTGGGCATGGTGTCTAGGCTGATGGTGCTCAGGAGAGACGGGCTGGGGCCCCGCTCATGCTGGGACAGGGATGAGTGGCAGGAGGACCCGGAGGACGTCCAGGACCTCAGCCTGCAGCAGGGAAGAGGAGGAGTCACACCTCCCAGGCGCCCTCACCCCAGGATACCCAGTCACTCCTAGTGGCCACGTCTTCACTCTCAGCCTACAGTCAGAGGCAATTTGTGAATACAGGGTGAGTTCTCCCTGCCTGCTCCGTCCTCTGCGTCTGCCTGGAGAACTATTCATCTTTTAAAACCTAGTTTCCAATGCCCATCCTCTAGCAGACATTGATTATTTCTGTTCGGTCTGGACTTTGAAGGATGAACAGGAGTTTGTTAGCAAAGGGTATTCTGGGCGTTGGGAACAGTGCACGCAAAAGCCTAGCAGTGAGACGGTGCACAGCTGCTTTACATTCGGCATGCTTAGGAACGCAAAGTCAAAGCGAGTGATGATAGGGCCAGGCTGGCAGGGGTCTGACAAGCTGGCCAATATGTGTGACCCTTTTCCACTGGGCCACTGGGAAGCTCCTTCCAATGTCAGATTTTGTGGCTCCATCTCCCAGCAGGCTTGGAAGCTGGATCTGCTTATACTCTCCAGCCCACCTACCGGACATCAGTGCTTAGCCGGCGGCCGTACTCCCCCTCACTGCTGCGCTCCCAGCCTTCCTCCCGGTCCTCACTGAAGCTCCGTTCGGTGAAGGTTGGGGTGGGCTGGGCGGCCAGGAACTCAGAGCTGCTGTAGACCTGGGAAGCAGTACAAAATAACAGTAACAACAACGGAGCAGGCAGCCATGCTCATGGGGAGGAGCCGGCTTAGCTAAGCGATTCCTTCGTGCCTGATGCTTCCCTGGGAGATGCTTCCTCACAACCCTACTCAGCACAGCCCTAAAGACGGCAGACGGTGAGCCCACCGCGCAGAGGAAGACACTGAGGCTCAGAGGGGCCCGGCTACCAAGAGGGCCACAGCCAACGACCAGGACATCCTGCCTGGGGCCCAGGCCCACAAGCAGTGCCACAGGATTTTAATCAAATTATAAACAAAGGAAGAAACTTAAATTAAGCCTATGAGGCTATCGAATGACACCCAGCACAGCAGCACTGGCCACACCCACCCACAAGTGGACACAGCCCAGACGCCCGTCAACTGATGAAGGATAAACACAACGTGGTCCAGCCGCACGACAGAATAGCATTTGGCCATAGGAAGGGAGGAAGCTCTCACGCCACAACGTGGACGAACCTCGGAAACACTGTGCTGAGCGAGAGAAGCCAGGCACAAAGGGCCACACGGTGTGTGATCCCACTTATATGAAATGCCCAAAACAGGCAAACCCAGATACAGGGAGCAGATGAATGTTGTCAGGGGCTGGGGGAGGGGGAGGGGAAGTGACTGCTCATGGGGCTGGGGTCTCCTTTTGGGGTGATGGAATGTTCCAGAACTAGATGGAGGTAACGGTTGCACATTGTGAATGTGCTACATGCCACTGAATCATACATTTTAAAATGGCCAAAACCCAAACACCTTGCAGTGTTTCCTGAGCGCTAGCCACGTCTAGGGCTGGGCCCACCTTGCTGAACCGGTGGGAGCAGGACGAGAACTGAGGGATCTCTGCAGACGACTCCTCGTCGTTGGTCTCGTCGTCCTCCGAGCCCAGGTGGCAGTAACGCTCCGAGCGCGCTGTGGGAGGGAAGGGCGTGTACAGCCCACCTGATGCCAGGAGGTAGCCACGAGGGCTGTAGGGTGACGTGGGGAGGGCGTCCCAGGCGGGGAGACACTGTCAGGGCAAAGGCATTGAGGTGAAACCATGCCTGGTGTGTTTAGGGACCACAGGAGGCTTGGATAGCAGAGTATCGGCAAACAAATCCAAGCTGTGTCCCCAAAAGCTGTGGCACCATGGGTGGGAATTCTCATCTCTGAGCCTCAGCTTCCTTACCCTTGAGATAGGTCACTCAGAATTAGGTAAAACTGTGCACCTCGAATATAAAGTTTGTTTCTCAATTTACAGAAGAGGAAACAGATGCTCAGAGAGGACCTCTGACATGCCCAAGATCATATAACAAATTCTGGAGGTGGTGCTGGAAACCAAAGGCATTTATTCTATGTTTGGCTGGAGCCCCAAAATGGGAGAGGGAGACTTGTCTGAGCCCACCCACAGTGCCAGGCCCCCTGTCCTGTGTGACAGACAGGACTCCATGCCTGGTCGGGGACAGACACTCAGAAGGCTGCAGCTGCCGGGGGACCCCAGGCAAGGGCCTGCCACACTCAGTGCCTTGGTTTTCCCCTTGGATAACCCGAGGGAGTGCTGTGGCCTCATGAACCCAGACACACGGGAAATCCCGACAGGCCTGAGGGGGCTGCCGCAGACACGCCCCAGGTGCTCAGGAAGCTCCGGCAGGCGGAAGCTCCAGGCCCAGGCGTGGCGCAAAGCTTGGCAGGAGGCGCTGGCAGAGCCCCTCCCCGCCCCAGGGCGCTGTGAGACAGCAGAGCCCGCCCTGGACCCCCACGCACTGTCAAAGTAGCTGGTGTCGTCCTCGGCTTCGAGCTGCGGCACGAACTCGGCCTTGTGTCGCAGAAGCCCCGCCCAGTCGAGCGTCCAGAAGAAGGGGTGCTGCTTCACCTCGTGGGTGCCACCTGCGGACGTGCCCGCTGAGCACATGGTCCCCCTGCTGACCCTGTCCCCCCCCGGCCAATGTGAGCCAACACCCGGCCAATGCCCTTTAGGAGCCTGGAGAGGAGCCGCGCTGGGGCTCGACCCCGGCCCTGCTCTGCCCCTGCTGGATCCTGCGGCCCCACCACCCCGAGAAAACCAGAGCCTCGGGAGGGCTTCCTTCCCGTCTTTCCCATGTGTCTCGACTCCAGGGAGCAGAGGCGACAGTGTGAGGGGGTCCTGGTCCCCAACCTCAGCCCGCACAGTCCCCTCCTGTGGTGAAGCTTCATTATGAACAAGACCCACAGTGGCTGAATGACAGGTGGCTGTGTGAGTTTCAAACGGTCCCTTAACCACTCTCTAGGTGGCTAGGAAAACTGGGACAGTAGGATCTACTGGGTTGGGCCTTTGAGGATGTTAGGACACAGCCCCTACCATCCTTGCAGGCTCATATACTCACTCAGCCTCAGTGGCCCCTGTCTGTACCAGACTCAGCTACCTGCTATGCCTTCAAGATCTTGTGCTAGTTCCTGGTGAACTCCTATGCATCCTTCAAAACCCCAGCTCCAAGTCCCCCTCCTCCAAGCAGCCTCCCAGGTAGAACTTTAGTTTACCTCAGCCCCCATCCCCCCAACCTGGGCCCCACCCACACCTACACCTACATACCAGTGCCCAGACGGTCCAGTGGGCTCTGTCGGAGCAGCCTGGTGATAAGGTCCTGGGCATCAGCTGGAAGGGCCTCATCCCCCTCTGGCCACATGATCTCATCTAAAACAAGGGGAGGGAGTGACGGGTTGGGGACAGCCCTTCATAGCACCTCCCGCCACCTCCGCTCGCTCACTGCGCTCCAAGCCATCAACACACCAGGCCTGGTCCTACCTCACAGCCTTCGCTCTGCCCAGAGCACCTTCCCCTCTTCTATCTCCGTGGCTCCCTCTCGCTCCCTCAGGTCTTTGGTCACACGTGGCTTCAGTGAGGCCTCCGTGACTCACTGTTCAATACACCCCTGCCCGGCCCCTGCCCACTTCCTGCTCCCGTTCCTCCCTGGCATTTCTGGCCTCTGATTCTTCTATAATTTGCTTACTTATCTTCCCTGCTGTCCGTCCTGCCCTTGCCCGTGTCCCTGGTGCCCAGCCAGGGCCCGGCACATCGCAGGTGCCCAATCCACACAGGTAGGGGGATGGCTGCCCAGAGCCCAGTGGGGTCGAGACTCGGACCTGGGGCTAGGAGGGGGAACGCACCACTGGCCACCTGGCCAAAGAGTTCCTCGGGGGTATCTCCGAAGAAAGGCACGCAGCCCACCAGGAACTCGTAGAGGACGACGCCCATGGCCCACCAGTCCACCGGCTTCCCGTAGCCCTGGCGGAAGATTACCTCGGGGGCAATGTACTCAGGCGTCCCGCACACCTGGGCAGGTGGAAGAGGGAAACTGAGGCCAGCTCCCAGCCAGGACGAGGGGCGCGAGCGGCGGGGGCAGTCCATCCTCCCCCTCTGCTGCAGTCTCCCCGTGTCCTGGGGCTCGGGCTGCAGACAGAGGGGGGTGGCCCGCACCCCGCCCGTCCACACACCTGCTTGTCCACAAACTCCCGAGTGTCCTTCTCGATGTGGCCCTCGTAAAGGTTGGTGGCCATGCTCATGAGCCCGATCTTGGACAAGCCGAAGTCAGTCAGCTTGATGTGGCCGAGCGAGGTAATGAGCAGGCTGCGGGCAGGCGGGTGGTGCGCTCAGCGACGGCCCGCGGCGCCGGCCACTCCCACCGCCCCAGAGCCTGGCTCCACCCGAGGCCGCAGGCCCCGCCAGGGCGGCCGCCAAGCGGATCAGAGAGCGCCTCCTGTGCACATCCGCGTCCCAGAAACAACCAGCCGGTCTTGGGCAGTACTGCGAATTTGGCAAACATCTCTGTGCGCCTACTGGGTGCATATGGTGTTGCTAGTGAGCACCTATTGTATACTCCGCTGTGCAAAAATAAATTTGCTGGAATCACAGCATCTCCCCATTGTGTGTTAAAACATCTCCTGAACACCTGCTGGGGGATCTACGGTAGATTTTTGCACACACGTCCATTGTTTTGACAAACTAAACACTTTGCAAACACCTACTGTTTACCTCCCTTGTTGAAAAATAAACATGTCTCGAACACCTGCTGTGTACAGAAATATTCCTATGCCCCTCAGGAGTGCGCCATTTTTAAACTTGCACGCCCACCATGGACGCCACTGTTCCGTCTCCCACGAGCTCCAGCATATAAACGTCTTGTTAAGCGACAGAATCATCCACACCGTCTTTATCAAGTCACATTTTCAGGCACCTGATGGATGGGTACATCTGCCACTGAAAAATAGAGTTCTAGAGAACTCACTGTGTACATCCAAGTTGTCTGATGAGCCATTTATTTGGCACCTACTGTGTACCTCGACTCTATAAAGAAATAATTCTGTGCACCTGTTATGTGCATTTACTGTTTTTTAAAAATAAGGGACATTTCTTCAATAACCGCTGTGTATACCAGCTGCAGACAGAAACCTTCGGTGCAGCTCCCAGATGCGGCTAGAACCTTGAACATCTGGGCTCTGTGGCAGGCCTGGGGCCTCGGATGTCAAGACAGCCAAGGGTTTTGAGTTCCTACGGCATGCCCCCACATAAAAAACGGTCATTTCTTGAACAATGACTATATCTGCTATCCAAAAATGTTTTCCTTCTTACAAATGAAATGATACAATGCCTGGGATTTACTTCAAATCATCAATTTGGGGTGGGGGGGACCAAGGGGACACGGAGGAAATAGGACTGGCCGAGCTGTGGCTCAGCCACATTGGCGGCTGTGGAATCCGAGCATGGGCGTGGGGCACTGCACTCTTCTGTTCAGGGCTGAACTGTGTACCCCAAATTCACACGCTGTAGTCCTAAACCCCAGGAACTACGAATGTGACCTTACTGGAGACAGGGTCACTGCCCGTGTAATTAGCTGAGGTCAGACGGGGTGGGGGCCCTGACCCAATGTGACTGGTGTCCTCATAGAAAGGGGAGATCTGGACACAGATGCGCACAGGGGGAAGGCCGTGCAAGGATCAGATGACACGGCCACAGCCAAGGAACGACCAGAAGCCACGAGGGGCCTGGAGGAGGCCCTTCCCGGGCACCCTGAGGGAGCGCAGCCCTGCTGACACCTTGACCTTGGCTCTCTGGCCTCCAGAGCCATATAAGCCACCTGGTCTACGGTACTGGGTTATGCTGCCCTAGCAAACTAACGCACCTTCTCTCAACTTCTGGTGTATTTGAAATTTTCCAAAATGAAAAGGAAAAACTACTTTTCTCGAGCACCTACTGTGTGCGCCTCTCCCTCCCTCACCTTTGGGGTGGGCCAGCTTCCTGCCCCGTCTTGCAGATGAGGGTCCTGAGCTTGGGAGGGGCAGGTCTTGCCTTGGGGTTTGACCTAAGACACTGGGAGGACCCACCCCACCCCAGGATGATCCCACAGAGGCTTGATGGGCACAATCCTTAGAGTGTCAAGCACAGGCCCAGGTATACAGCAGGCACCAAATACACACTTGCTTGTTTTCTAAACCCCTTGCAAACTACAAGGTGCTCTGAAAACCTGCAGGGCTATCAATGCTCATGTTTATACCTCCACATGGCAAGTATCTCCATCTGAGGAAGGGGGGAGATACCTGCCCTGCACCTGGCACACAGTAGGAGCTCAGTGCATGCTGACCTCAAAATAAAAACTTTATCAAAAGACCGCTGATGTGTTCTGGGTCTGGCACATAGTCATCGCCTCGTAACTGTTGCTCTGATCACCTTATACACAGCTGGTGCCTAATAAATACATGCCAGCTAAAAAATATGCTTTCTAAACCCCAGAGAATCATCAGTGTGCCAAGAGTTAGTCATAATCTCATGTGGGCTCCTCAGAGTGCCAGCACAGGCTCAGGTATACAGCAGGTGCCAAATACACATTTGCTTTGTTTTTTTAAGCTACTCCCAAACTACAAGATGCCCTGAAAACATGCAGAGCTCTTAATGCCTATGTTTACACTTCCACACTGCAAGTATCTGGGAAACGTGTGGTTCTTGCCTCGTATCCAGGGGACACTCAATATACGGGCAGCCCTTTCCTCTGTACACAGCAGGGTGCTCAATAAATGCAGGATACAGTGCTTTGACTATTATGTAGGGGTTACAAAGCATTAAGAAATTATTCACAGTTACACTTGTGTCTCCCAGTCACCCACAGAGGATTTGGCATGCAGTAGGTGCTTACCAGATGCTAGAATAAAATAAACATCCCAAGGCTTTCAATAAACACGTTCTCTTTCTTTCTTGCCCACACTAATACATAGCAGATGCTCAAGACATGCAATCCCTTTCTTCACATACAAGGTCCCGCATATAGCTGGTGCCTCATAAGAGCATGCTCTCTGCCCTCGGGTGGCAGCAGCTCTGTGAGGGTGCAGTCCCCTTCCCCGAGCAGTTTGTGCATCCTAAGCGCACATTCTTTCTCTTTGCCTGGCACCACCTTCAGAAGTGCACTGTCCTTCCCCTGCATACAGGAGATGCGTATTAAGTACCCACACTCCTCTGTACACACCAAGTGCTCAACACGCGCATGTTCCCTGCCTTCCTGCCAGCAGCGGCCCCACCCACGCCAGCTGAATGCAGACAGGCGGGGCTCCTGCGCAGCCCGGCCCCGCCCCCACCCCTGGGCCCGCCCCTGCGCTGTCCAAGCCCCGCCCCTGCAGCACCCTGGCCCCACCCCCCACCTCCCCGCGGAAGCCTCACGCGGGCTCACTTGTCAGGCTTGAGGTCCCGGTGCACGATGCCGTAGTTGTGCAGGTACTCGAGCGCCAGCACTGTCTCGGCGAAGTACATGCGGGCCATGTCCACGGGCAGCGGGCCCATGTTCTTCAGGAGCGTGGCACAGTCGCCGCCTGCGGAGGCGAAGACGCTCAGAGAGGCCGCGGGCGCCCTCTGCAGCCGTGCCCAATGCCTTCGCACCCTCCCCCACCTGCTGCAAAGTGTCCCCAGTCTGTCCTGAGTTGGGGTGGGGAACCGGGCAAGGCAGCAGCTCTGTAAATGCAGCCCTTCCCCTGTACACAGCTGGTGCATTCTAAGTGCACGCTCCCTCTCCTTGCCTGGCAGCCCCTCTGTAACGGCACCTCTCTGCCCTGACCCGAAGGCTGGGCTCTCTCCTGAGCTGCAAACCCCATCCTGTGACTCCTTACCCGGCCACCAACCACCCTGGCCTCCACAGCCCAATCTCCCTCCCGTCCCTGCTCTGACTTCCAGCTTCCAGCCTCTGCCCATCAGTCCCCCTGTCTAGGATGGCCACCCTTCCCCTACCCCACAGGGTACCACCCTTACCCTCCTCTTTGGGCTCCCCAAGCCCCAACCTCCCAAGGCTGGGCCCCCCACCACAGACTGTGGGTCCCCCACGGCAAGGTGGGGCCCCATGGAGGACAGAGCAGTCCCCAGCTTGGTCAAAGGAGGGACTTTCTCCCCCGTCGGGGGTGAGCTCCCGTCGCTGGAGGCACGTGAGCCCCCGTGACCGCACCTTCCACATACTCCATGACCATGCACAGGTGGCGCCGGGTCTCGAAGGAGCAGAACATGCTGACCACAAAGGGGTTCTCGGCGAAGGTGAGGATGTCGCGCTCCACGAAGACCTGCTGGATCTGGTTGCGCAGCATCAGGTTCTGCTTGTTGATCTTCTTGATGGCGAAGCGCTGCCGGGTCTCCCGGTGCCGCACCAGGTAGACAGCCCTGGGGGGCCGGGTTCGCTGAGGCCTGAGATCCAGGCCCCAGCAGGCACTGGGACCTAACCTGGGCCCAGAACCCGCCCCGCCTGGCCTTTGCCTGTGCTGCACCCCACACCTGGGACACCTTCTCCCAAAGCAGCACGCCACGGGTTTAAGCCACCCTCCCTGGTGTCAATCAAATGAGCCAAAGATGGCCCCTAAGTTGTTTAGTTCCTCACTGCAGACTGGGACCAGTTAGCTCAAAGCCCACTGGCACCAAACTCAAATTGCTTTAAAGACAGCCCAAATAAGCAGATTCTCAGCCCTTTGGAGCCTGCTGCCTCTGCACAGCCGGTGAGACTGCACCGAACATCTCCCAGCCATAGACAAGGTAAGTCCTGGGCCCCAGACCCCCTGACCCACCGCCCCCCCCCCCCCCCCCCCCCCCCGCCGCTGAGTGCCTGGACTCATGAGCCCCCTCTCCAGGCCCCTCTGGCTGGTCTTATGCCCTGAGGGACTCCCCTCTCCCACCCCCACGCAAACCTGTCAAAGTGGAGCTCAAATACTGCTCGCTGCCCACTACTGCCACCGTGTGGTCATCTTCAGCCTACACATCCCGAGAGCCCTCTGCCTGCAGCAGGTAAGGGCCTGGATCCCAGAGAAGCCCACTTCCCTCTGCAGGCCTCAGTTTCCCTGTCTGCACACTCAGGGGCTGCCGGGGACTCAGCCATCCCCATGGGCACCTGAGAAATGGGTCTGTGGGGACCCCAGGACTCACCCATAGGCCCCGTTGCTAATGAGTTTGATGGTCTCGAAGTCGCTCTCGCATGGCTTCCTCCGTGAGGCGCCGACCAGGGCACGGCTCTGCAGGGCAAGGAGGCTCAGGAGCCTGCGCCACCAAGAGCGGGTCCGGCTCCTCCTGCCCCCTAGTCCCAACCGCTGGTCCTGGCGCCCGATGCTTCTTCCTCCCTCCAAAGTTCTCAAACTCAGCTTCTGAGTTTCTGAGTTTTTGCCCAAGCTGCATCTTCCTTCCACAAAACTCCTACACATCCTCCAAAACTCCCCTTTCCAGCGCCCCCTCCAGCCCTGCCCTGCCCAACCTCCACAGCAGGGCAGTCTCACTTGCCCCCACCTTCTCCCCAAAGTCACAGGCATTTGTTAAGCACCTACTATATGCAAAACCTCAGCAAACCCAGCCCCTCCCATGGCCGCCTGGTCTACACTGAAAAGAACAAGACAGGTGGAGGCACCAAAGCTCGGCGACTTACCTCCGGGCACTCGGGGGCTGGTGGCTGTCCTCCATCATCGAGGTGACTCAGAGGCACCATTTCTGCAAGATGTGGGAGGAGCCTTGAATGGAACCTCCATGCCCTGCCCCGCCATCACCCAGAGATTTCCAGAGGCCTCCAGGGCCCATCCTGGGCTGGGGACGCAGTGCTCCCTTGACCAGCTCCCATGACACTGTCATTGAGTCCCTACTGTGTCCAGGTCTCTGCCAAACCCAGGAGGCTGGACCGAGCAACAACTGAGGAACATTCTAGAAGGGCTAGTGGGAAGCCCAGGTTCCAGAATGCTCAGCCGTCATCCTGGCTCTGAGCCCTGGGCCTGTGAACATGGGCTGTGACGCAGGCCCTCTGGGTCTTGGCTCCTAACATCCTCCTCAGCTCAGGGCACAGCCCGGAGAAGCCCCCTTATTTTCCGGCCCCAGAGCTTGACAGAGGGGTGGCCCCGAGTGAGTGGCCAGTGAACGTAAGCCATGATGGTGGCAATGAAGACAGTGTCTTGTGGTCACAGAGCAGGGCTGGAGTGGGGTGGTGGAGTCTCAGGACTGAGGGTCCCCTCCACCCTCAGTGGCCCCCAGGGTGCCAGGCAGAGGGTCTGCCCCCACGGTCTCAGCTGCCACCTGTCTGGCCACCTCCCGCCTCCACTAATACCTGGGCCACCCACAGTGCCACCTGCACTATCTTCACTGAACAGACAGGAGGACGGTGGCGGCCACATGGCTAGTCCACAAGTGGTCCGGTCTCAGCATGGCTGGGTCTGAACCCTGCTCAACCTCATCCGCCCAGAGCCTCAGTCCCTCCAGCTTTAAATGGGGGCAGCTGCAGCCCGGTCCCCGGGTCAACACAGCAATGACGCCCGACGGACACTGGCAGCGTGGCTAGGCCCTGGAGTCCTCCCTGCCAGCTCCAGCCACACCCCCGCCCGCGGCCTTGCCTCAGGCCTCTGCTGTCCCCGTCCCCCAGATCTGCACCTGGTCCCCCCATCCTCCAGGCCCCAGTGTGCACACCACCTCCTCCCAGAGCCTCCCCGGACTGGCCCGGTGCCCTCAAGCTCCAGCTCAGTGCCCCTGTCCCGGCTGTGTGGCAAGCTCCTGACCAGGCTGGCCGCGCCCACGGGCTGCCCTGGCCCACTCCGAGTCCCCCCTGGGCCACAGTCACATGAAATGGGGACAGTGCTCTGCGAACGTGCAGGACCACGTGGAGGCCAGTGCTAACGGCGGGCCCTTGGTGTCCTGGCCCACGTCGACTTGGTATTTGAGGACACGAGGCTCCAAGGCCCTGGCAGGTCAGGGCGTCTGACTCACGGCCACCTGACCCCAGAATCCCTGGCACTCGCCCCACAGCGGGCCCCCAGGCGGCTGAGAGCAGGGCCGCAGAGAGACGAAGGACAGTATGGCGGCTCTGGAGTTGCATGGGCCTGGGTTGGAATCCCGGCTCCACCCCAGCCCCTCTTCGGTTTCCTCTTTTCACCTCCCGCCCTACCCCAGCTTACCCTCGAGGGGGTCCTTTGCCAGGCCCAGCTGCCCAATGATGTACCGCGGCAGGTCGGTCTTGATGCCCTGGTCCTCGCGGGCCTGGCCCTCAGCAGCCTCCAGCAGGTGGTAAAACTCCTCAGGATCAAACTCCTGGGGTTGCAGAGGGGTTGGTCAGTCAGGCCTTGGTCCCACCTCAGGGCCTTTGCACATGCCATTCCCTCTGCCTGGAGCACCCTCACCAGGGGCTTCAACTTGTCTCCTAGGTCTCAGCTCTTGGCCCCCTCTCCAGGAAGCCCACCCCAGCCTGGCGACATGCCGTGTCCCTCTCAAAATCCTACGCAATGGGAACTGTCTCTTCTATCCCAGGAGGACCATCTGGGACCCGACCTCAGCTCTGCCAGGACCCTGCACCCGGCCACACGTGAAAACACGCACCAGGCACTCCAGGAGCCTGGCTGGCCGCGAGATGATGATCAGCAGCTTCCGGACCAGCTGGACGATGAAGCCGACCTCCTCGCTGTCCGAGCGCTCGTGGGCCTGGGGGCAGGTGGGTGGCGCGTCACCCGCAGGCCTGTGGTCCTGCCCGGTCCCCCCCGGGGCCCCGCCCGAGTACCCACGCACATCCTGCAGCAGCCTCTCCAGCTTCTCCTGCATCTCCAGGAAGTAGCGAGAGGTGACAAGCGCCTCGCCTGACTTGGCCAGGCAGTCGCGGGCCAGCTCGATGATCTGGTGGTGGATGAAGCCCAGGACGCCGTCAGCCAGTGCCAGCCGGGCGCCGGGCGAGAAGGAAGCAAGGAAGTCCCGCAGGCGGCCCTCCATCTGCGCCGTGGCCTGGGCAGGGTGAGAGAGGACGCGACGACCTGGTCACTGGACAGGGCTGGGGAGCGACATGCGCAGAGGGGGACGGGAGAGACAGCTGGGGAGGGAGAGGGGAGGTGATGATGGGGCCCGTGGGGTTGGACAATCGGGGGGAGAGCAACATGCGCAGACCAGGGGGCTTGAGACAGAGACAGACAGAAGTGGACAGAACGACGGAGGAGGGACACAGCCAAGAGGACAGAGAGGGACAGCAACGTGGAGGGGAGTTGGGCCAGCCCAGCGCCGGGCGCCGCCCACCTTGGGGAATCTCTCCCGGTACACGTGATTCATCATGACGATCTCGTTGTCGAAGGTCCCCGTCGTGCGTCCCGGGCTGGGGAGGGGGGTGGTCGTCTTGTGACATGGGACCTGAAACCCAGCCCAGGGGAGGGGGCTGGGCCAGGGCTGAGGACCAAGGGCCAGAGGCCAGCCTCGGGCCGGGTCAGGGACAGAGGTGGAGGTCCCAAAGACAACCCAGGGAGGGGCTGGGGCTGGGGCCAGAGGTCGAGGCCCACCTGAGGCTGCGGGAGCGGGGGCGAAGGCGGGGTGAGCGGTGGCCGCCCTCCTCGTCAGCCATGCTCTCTGAGCTGCGGAAATGCTTGGACAGGAAACACAGTTCGTCTGGTGTCGGTTGGAAAGGAAGCTGGTGGAGGCGTTCCCGGGAGGATGAGCTCGACTAGCAGGAGGGTATCAGGGCCATGGTCAGCGCCACAGCCAGGACCCCAGCATTACCCTTCAAGGCCCAGGCTGCCTGCTGGTCATCAGACAGTAGCACTCTCCTGCCTGGCTCCTATGCAGCCCTCAAAACCCCAGCTCTGATGCCCCCTCCTCCAGGAAGCCCTCCCTGCCTGCTCCCTTGGCAGACCCCCTCTCGTCAGGCCCTGATCCCACAGGCTGGAGATATCTGTATACCCCAGACTAGGGGCTCCTTGGGGGCTAGGCTAGGTCCTCTCAGGGACCCCCACATTGCCCAGAATGGGGATGTTTGCTAACTGGACGACTATCAGACACCTTGAAAAAAACCAAAGACACACCCCCCCACCACCACCACCTCGCACCCGCCTTTCTGCCCGCCAACTTGGGACTGTGGGTACCGAGACGGTGGAGCTGGGCGTGTTGGTTCCATAGCCAGAAGACGGGAGGGATGCGAGGGACCATCTTCTGCCGTCAGCCCTAGAGAGAAGAACCAGAAGGGTTGGAAAGAAGGCATAGCCCCTGCGGTGTGTGAGGACCGAGGGTGGACACTGGGGTGGGCTGATTGTGGCCCCGTTGGACAAAAGACCTTCTATAAAGCCAAGGACAGGGATTCTGGGTGAGCAAGTCCACTACATGTTTTCTCCTCGTCCTTCAGACGCCTCCTCCGGGAAGTCCTCCCTGACTCCAGCTGCAGGGCATCCCCCATCAAAGCTGTGATCTCTCTGAGCTGCAGCTGCTAAAGTACATGCTGGCTGTCCCCACCAGAGAGGACTCCCTGAGGGCCAAAGTCCAGCCTCCCATTCCTAGGCCCCCAGCATAGGGCACGGCACACAGCAGGCGCTCAAAAGATGTTGTTGAATGAATAAGTGACATTTAAATGCCTGGCACACAACAGGTCCTCCACCAGCTCTTGTTAAGTGAATTCATGATTTTTAGTGAATTAAAGATTCTTGGACCAGCCGCGCCGCCCTCCTCCTCCCAGGGACTCGTAGAAATTACCTGTCCGTGTGCGGGACGTGGCTGCGGAAGGCCATGCGTGTGCCAGAGGCGGAAGCCAGAGGGAGAGACCACCGCAGGGCAGGGGCCGGGGAGGGGAGAAGGCGAATGAGGAGGCAGGTCCAGCCACCAAGCGCATGCCTGGCCCCTCACCAGTGCTGCCGATGCCATCTCCCACAGCCAGGGCCCACTCACCTCCGGGCAAAGGGGAAGCTGACGGCAGACGCAGCTGAGAAGGTCCGGGGACTATCCAGGGGGCTGCTGCCTGCTGAGGAAGAGGCGGGGAAGCCGGGTCAGCGGGAGTGGAGACAGGACGCTGTGCCCACCCGCCTGCCTTGGCGCTCACCAGTGGGGACCGACAGAGGTGAGAGGGGCCGGGAAAGGGTCGGTGAAGGCGTTCCCACCACCAGGCTCTTGCGGTTCCCGCTGCGGCAGCTGTGGGCGAGGGGGGGACAAGGTCAGGCGCCGGCCCAGGCCCCGGGCGCAGAGGACCGCGTGCCCAGGCCCCGGGCGCAGAGGACCGCGTGCCCAGGCCGCAGCACATGCACGGCTTTGGGGCAGACGGGCGGTGGGCTACGACTCCTCCCACTCTGCTCCCCACTGGACTCCCCCACAGCCCTCAGCCCAGGCTTCAAGGCCCAGCGGGGTGTCAAATTTGACAAATATTATCTATCATTAAGACTACTGCTCTCATTGTGACCATCAGTGGTGGCACGAAGTGCTTCGGCCTCCTGGTGGACACTGCACTCAGCCAGCAGCCCCCGCCCACCTTCTCAGGCTGCTGTGTTCTCCGTTCCACCCTCACACCTCTGCCCACTCAGGGCCGCTGCCCGGAGCACTGGCAAGTGATGCAGAGGATGGAGAGGACCCTCGAGCCCACTGCGGGGGTGGGGCAGGCCCCCACTCCATTCCATGCCCCCTCTCCCAGGGCCACTGACCGAATCTCTCGGCAACCTACCTCCCCAAGATCCCCCTAAAATGCCAGTCTCACCCTTAAAAGCTCTAAAGTCAACATCCTTCACAGTTGAGTCCTGTCCTTCCTGTTCCAAACTCCTGCCCACACATTTTCCTCCCTCCATCCCAGCTCTTCTGGCTGCCAGACCCCTGGCCCAGGCCACTCCCACCCTTGCCCAGCCTCTCCCACCTGCACCCTAGCCCCAGCCCCTGCCCTGGCAGAGGAAGTCAGGAGAGACACAATCCACCCCCCCCCGCCCCGGCAGTCGCCCAGCAACCGCTCTGTGTGCTCGACAAGTGCAGCAGCCCACACGCCCCAGCCACCAACGCAGCTCAGCCGCGGGCGAGCTGCCTGCACAGGGCATGGGGGATGACACCTCGGGCCTCGAAGGGCCAGGAACAGTGTCCCAGGCAGAAGGCACAGTGCAGGCCACGGCGGGGGAGAGCACAGTCAGCAAATGACCAGGGCAACAAGGAAGGCGGGCAGGGAGGACCTGTCCATGGTTCCATGCGTGGCTGCCTCTCCAAGAGTCTGGCTGTTGCAAAGTGCTGGGAAGAACCGATGAAGCCCACACACAGTGCTCAGCCTCAGGCCTGGGCGACTACCGCAGGTACAGATATCATCATTTTTCTCCCAACCACGCTCACGGGCCCTGGCGTGCACGGCGGGAGCGCAGGCAGTGCCTCCTCAGAGAATTAAACCACCACCATTTGCCCATCCCAACAAGCCAGGAGGTAGGAGACCAGCTGCACCCACTTCCCAGCCTGGGAAACTGAGGCCACAGATGTCACCAGCCACAGGCACTGTCCTCTAGTCTGAGGCGCAGAAGCAAAAGTGAAACCCACAGGTTCCTGCAAAACTTCCTGCCAACTCCACCCCCCCACCCCCACCCACCAGTCCTCAGTCCTACATCCTCTCCCAGCCCTCACCTGGCTCCTCTCGCCCAGGCCGCACCCACTACATCAGTTTTCACTTCCAACCAAATCTGGGAAAAACATTTGGCCACCTCTCTCCTGCTTTCAGGAGGGGCTTTCTTGAAAACAGCCAAATCTACGGTCTGAAATGAGACTGGGCATCATCTGTTCACTTCCTAAGTATCTAATGAGCGCTGACTATTTGCTCAGCCCTCCCTGGAGAAGGCCCAGGATCCCGAGAAGCTGCCTACCCATTCAATAACCACCAGTGTGGTACAACAGAGAATGAGAATACGACACAAAACAGAGTCCTGAGGCCAGCTGCCTGCACCCAATCCCTGAGGTGCCCATAAGGCCTCTGTGGCTCCCCAGAATCTGGGAGAAGAGTCTAAGCCCTGGACTTGGCATTCAAGGTTCTTCCGCGGCTGGTCCCACGACCAGCCTTTGCCTGGGCTCCCCTCTCAGAATGCGCCAGTCCAGCACGGATGAGATACCCAAGCACAGAGAGGTTAAGGAACTGCCTGAGGTGACACAGCCGGGCAGTGGCTGAGCTAGAATCTGAACCCAGGTCCGGTAGAGCCCACAGCCCTCACTTAGCCTCTCTGCTTTTCAAAAGGGGAAACTGAGACTCCAAGAGTCTTTGCTCTGGGACTGGGAAACACCATGATGTGCACTCCTGACATCCCACCTGCAACAGCCTCCTGCAGCAAATATTTGCTTCTGAACCAACGTTTCCGCTGACTGGGCCCTAGGGACAGAACAGCCTCAGTTTTTCCACGAAGCTCCTCCCCAGGTCTGTCTAGCCCCAGAGACCCAGGTTCGAATCCTGACTCAGTCCCAACTCCCCCTGCCTCTGTCACCACCGCAGCTGCGACCCCGGCGGACAGACACCCCAGTCCGGGTAAGGAGAGGCAAAAGGAGGGTGCCTGAGACCCCAGGGGATCCCCCGATCCCCAAAGCGTGCTCCCCCTTCCTCCTACGCCGCACACAGTAGCCCTCGCCACGCCGCCGGAACGCACTTCTGGCAACTCGTGTCTGCTCGGCCGGGCGCCGCGCCTTTGCCCGCGCGGGCCCCCTACCTCTTGGAGCGCTGCAGCAGCGCGCCCTTGGCCAGGCGGCTCCGGTGGCCGGGCGCCGCCACCGCCGTCCAGTAGCTGGGGTCGGACATGCTGCTTCCCTTTGTGCCACCGCCGCCGCCCAACGCCCGGGAAGCGCGTGGGCGC